CCCCCCTTCTGTCTCGCCCCCCCCCCCCCATCAGAACCACTTTATCGTGTACCTTTTGGTCATGGATAGGGACAGGGATGAGAATCAGTGCCATAGTAAGATAGACTATTTCTCAAAATCGTGCTATCCCACCTCTACAGCGTCCAAGGGCAGGATTGCAGTAGAGGGAAAACAAACAGAGGAAAAGAAAAGTACAGCGTTTTAGCTTTGCACTAACAAAACCAAGGCATGTTTACCGAATGCCTGCCACACGCCTGACAGGAGGCAGAGGGCTCCTCAGTCAGGTTACACCGCGTTTCAGCCTTTCCCGAGGCGCCCTTGTCGTCCATAACCTAGGGCATCTGTTGCACACTTCCTACAAGTGGAGCCACTCAACAGCTGGCCCTGGGTGGAGCAAAGAAAGCATGCACCTTACTCAAAATCCGCGAAGCCGGCCAAAGTGCAGGCTTCACGCAAAAAGAAAAACAAAAATGAAACCTCGAACTAGAGCCTGGTGAGCCGCAGGGGGCAGAACTCCCGAGACTGGAACGCCGCCGGGTACCCACTGAGAACCCAAACCCAACTAAGGCTCCTCCAGCCCAGGGAGGTTGGGAACAGTGGATCAAAGAATCGCGACGCCTGGGAATGGCAAACCGGCTCTTCGGGAAGCCTTGATACGAGGGCAGCACAACAACAGTGGGTACTGGAGGCCGGGGGATTGGGGGAATCTATTCATGGGGGTGGGGAAGATGATTGGGAACAGAAAGGTTGCACAGATTGCGAGCTATCGGTGTGTGGGGGGGAGGGGGGGGGATGGGCGGGGGGGGGGGCGAGGGCGCTGGGAGGCAAGGACTGAACAGTCGCGCTGCGGGTGTAAAGGAAACCTTGGGGCTCCCGCCAGCGCACAAATTCGTAGGTCTTGGATCCTGGAAAGCGTTTGCCAGTGCACTGAAGGCAGAGCTGCAGGAGGGGTCCACTAAGGATCAGAGGCGACAACCAGACGACTGGGAGGGGTTAAGAGATGGGACACACACACACACACACACACGTCGGACCCCAGGCGTGCTGGGCGCACAGCCTCTTGCTGCTGCGGTCACTCACCTTCCGCACGAGAGCGGATCTCCGACACTGTTCTCCTCATGGTGGGCATCACGACAGCCCCTGCAGGTGGGTCTCGGGAGGGGACCCTGCACCTGTCACGGCGCCGCGCGGGCGGGAGAGCTGGCTGCTCCGCGCCAAGGGCTCCGCCGCCACGGGGCCGCGCCTCCCACCCTGGGCAGCGTCGCCACCAGGAGCCGCCTGGGCACTCGCGGGAGGAGGAAGGCGACAGAGGAGCTTCGTCCGCAGAGCCGCCTCAGTCTCCCGCAGCGGCGGAGGGGAGGGCTCGAGGGGCGGGGCCGGAGCCGGCGCCGGGGGCGGGGTCTGCGGGGCGCGCGCTCACTCGCTGGTCTCCTGGAGTGGGACGGGGACAGCGCCGGGTCTCCAGGTCCCGCCCAGTTCGGGCCGTACCATCCGCGGGGAGGGGACATCGATCTAGTATTCTCGGTTTCTAGGCACACCTCAGCGTTCCTCAAGGCCAGCACTAGTATCCCAAGTCTTAATTAAAAAGGAAGAGCTACTCTAGTTTATGAAAGCTCCGGTGCCCCCTCCATCCACCCTCTGGCTCCGCAATGCGATGGAACCGCCCGCCCTTAGCGCCAGAGTGTTGGGTTCGGTGTGGGCAGGCAGAGTCTAGGGATCTGAGCTGGACTGGGTGACGTCTCTGCTGGTGTGGGGGGATCCTGCGTTGGCCATCTGGGTGGAATCGTAGCCTAGATCAACTCCCAGGCTGACTCCTGGCCTGAGCTGCACTTGAACCCTCGCTAGTAGCAGGCTGTGAGGAGGCATGAAGCCGTGGGAGCCGCTCCTCTTCTTGTCTGGAAGGCTTAGAACCTCGCCACCAACGTGGGTGTGAGCCCGTACTTCCCACCAGCTCGTCTTCAACACTTCAACCTGTTAAGGCTCTGAAATTGCAAACAAATCAACAGTTAACGTGGTTAACCAAGCAATTCAGTTTGTGGTTTCTGCCCCAGAAAGTTCGATGCAGTAGTTTATTCTCAAAGCTTGGTGGGGTGTTGATATAAAATCCATAAAGATGTCCTTATATCCTAAAGATCAGCACGACCTCAGTACCTTTTATTTTATGTATAGTAAAATATACTCTAGCAAGTCGAAGCAAATGAAGTGTTTTTCATTTGTTCTTGATTTCACCCGGGAGATTGAATGAGGACGGCTTTATGCCTAGCAATCTCCTGAGCTGGGAAGGAAGGAATAACCAGGTAAGCTTGGTCCCTCTCCCTGAATTGTTCTTCTGGGCACCCAGTAGAAAGGGTTTCATACCAAGGCCTTTCATTTGTGATTTCATTCAGATCTGGGAGAGAAAATGCGGAGAAGTTTAACTTGAAAGAGGTGAGTGCAGCTCGAGCAGAAGGAAAAGATAAATAAAATCTGCTAACGGCGTCTTCTCTCCATTTGTGGTATTTCCTCTACTTCCTGCAAGGTCGCACTGGCTAATCAGAACTCTACCTCACATGAATTCCCAGGAGGCCAATCCATATGTATGAGGAACTCACTCCACCTGCCTCATATTCAGAGGCTGGGATCAGAACAAAGAAAACACATTTCTAGTGTTCTTGGAATCTCTCAGCTTAGAGCAGACTCAAACGTAAATATGTCTGTAGCAGCGATGGCCATAATTTAAAACTATAGTCTGTTGGAAAAAAGAAAAGGAATGAATCCTTAACAAGACTGTCACCTCTTAGGTTCCACAATCTCCTGGGGAAAAAGCAGGCTTCCTCTTGATTGATATGAATGTGTCTGAAACAAAGTAAATGACTAAGAATGGGGGGGGGGGATCAGCTTTAAAAGTAAGCAAACAAACGGGGCAGGGGGTAGGGGTAGTAGTTTCTGTTTAACATTTTGCATGAGATTTTTATAAACTCATTGCTTCGCAAAAATGACCTGTTTGATTTATGAGCAATCTCTTTTGTAATTCCCGTGAGCCCTTCAGTGAGGTTCGCTTCTGCTTATGTAACTGATAATAACTTTATAAAGGGAGTTCCAAGGTTTCTATAAGAGCCTGTTTTCTATAGAGCCGTCTGATATGCGTGCATTAGCCAAGGCGACAGCCAAAGCCGTTCAGTTCATACAGGAAATGAAAACAGTTTCTCGTACAGTCTAGGCTGGAAGATGCAGCCTGTGGCTTTCCTCTGGCTCTTTCCCACATGTTCCCATCACAGAATCCATATTGGCAGGAGTATCCTAACTCCCTCTTTTCTGAAAATTGGCTCCTTCGTGATTGCTAGAAAGTCATCCCTTTTTCTGGTTCCGAACTGTAATCGAGGTTGAGAATTGCACTAATCTGCACCTACCTGGTTTCAGAGCTCAGGGAACGTCTCACCTTCCATCGTGTGAGATGCACCCTGCCAGGCCCTGGCAGGGAACTCTGGTTCTAGCAACATGACCTTGTTACAGAATCTGCAGCTGAATTCAGATGTCGGCAAGTCATTTAAAAACGTTCAGGTCCTGCGATCACCTTGCCAGCTGATGACTTAGAAGAAAGCAGGCTTCTTCTTAGGGATAGCTGCCCTAAGGATCCCTTTTTATCATTATGCCGAAAATATACGTTAAATTCATGTTAAGGCCTGGATCAGCGTGCTAGGCTATGACGGACTTGGGGAAAGCTAGTTGGTGGTGATGCAGGATGACTGACATCCCATTCCAGCTAGACAAGAAGACACAAGTACAGACTTGGAGAGAAGGGAACATTCCATATGCGGGGATGACCAACATTTTTGAACTAGAGCTTGAGTAAGGCTTAAGTCTATAGAAATGAATGAGACCTGTTGCCAAGTAAGTTGCTAAAAAATACTCAAAGGAAAAGATTGTCTAGAGAATGAGATGGTTGAAGTGATAGAACAGAGTATTGGGTAACAAACAAATTTGTCTATAACAAAGCTTCTCATTGGGAATCCATGGTAACAGAATAGAGAGTCTCAAATGTCACTCTAAGGACATCTTTATTCCCTTCCCCATGAACCTTCTAAGTCAGTAGATTAGGAACCTCAACTGTGCCTACTCCCAGTCATCTTTGTGTTACTGTCCCTGGATGTCCCTTCAGTTTGCCGACTGACTTGTGCCTAAGGTAATAAATGTTTACCACAGAGGAGCTCAGGGAAAACTCGTTCCTTAATTTTTCTTTTGATTAGGATGGCTTGTGTTATTGAGTAACCACAGAAAACCAAGCGATGCAAACATAGCTTCGCTGTTCTACTCTAGCAGGGCGTAGAGCCAGCTTTATTTAAACTTCAGACAAATAAGGAGTGACCGTCAAGTAAGAAGATGGTCGCTGTGGTTAGCCAGTATCCTCCAAAGTTTATGGGTTTGAAAATATAATTGTAAATTGTACCTGTGAGTTAAAGAGGCAATTGGGAATGAGGGCTGGGCCCTCCTCAGTGGACTGATAAGTGGTGTTATGGTGGGAGTGGGAAACGTGAGTTGGGCCCCTGGCACGCTCATCGGCCCGCTTGCCCTTCTGCAATGAGTAACAGTGGAGACCTTTCATCAGATGCCGCTGCCTTGATACTGGATCCCCCGGGCACTAAAGACGTGAGAAACAAATCTCTGCCCTTTATTCATCATTCAGTCTAGGGGCTTCTGCTACAGCAGTGGATAGTGAACTTTCAGAACAGTAAACATCATAAAAGAAGAAGAAAACATAAAGGACCAGGGGAATGTTCTTACTGGGGCTAAGAACTCTCCATGTCTAAACAATTAGAGACAAAGAGCAATCTCAGCGGCAGATGATGGAATGGAACTGACCCAGTGCCTCAGACCATCTGCCCACACTCATTCAAATGGATATAGGCCCGAGTGCAAAAGTCGCTCCAACTATAAAACACTCAGAAGAAAAGTGGGAGTGTGCTGGGTAGTTTTATGTTGGCTTGACAGAAACTGAAGTCATCTGAGAGGAGGGAACCTCAGATGAGAAAATGCCATCTTAAGGTCGGGTTGTAGGCAGGCCTGCAAGTCATTTTCTTAATTAGTGCTTGTTTAGGGAGGCCAGCCCATTGTGGGTGGTACCATTCCTGAGTTGGTATCTTGGGTTCTATAAGAAAGCAGGCTGAGAAAATCATGGGGAGCAAGCTAGTAAGCAGTACCCCTCCACCTCCACTCATCCCCCTTTCCATGGCCTCTGCCTCAGCTCCTGCCTCCAGGTTCCTGCTCTGCTTGTGTTCCTGTTCCGGCTTCCTTGAACAGTGATGTGGAACCAGATAAACCCTTTCCTCCACAACTTGCTTTTTGGTCATGGTGTTTTATTGCATCCATAAAAGCCCTGACTAAGACAGGAGTTACTCTTTCTGAGTTTATCTCAGTAAAATTAAGTTATTTGGTGTAAGACCAAGAGCATGAGCAACAACAACAACAACAACAACAACAAAAAACCCCACGATTTATCAGATGGCATCAAAGCCTTCTTGTGCTTCAGAGGAACACTTAAAAGAATGTAGAAAAAATAACCTGGAAAATCATATACCTGATAAGTAATACATGCCTCAAATATAAGAAGAACCCTTATTTTTTTTTTCAATTTTTTAAAAAAGTTTTTGAGACTGGGTTTCTCTGTAGCTTTGGAGCCTGTCCTGGAACTAGCTCTTGTAGACCAGGCTGGTCTTGAACTCACAAAGATCCATCGGCCTCTGCCTCCTGAGTGCTGGGATGAAAGGCGTGAGCCACCACTGCCTGGCTAAGAAGAATCCTTATAACTGAATAAAAAAGAATAATCTAATTTTAAAATATGTAAATAGTCATTTTGCTAAAGAAAATATCCACATGGAATAGGCTCCTGAAAAGATGCATTATTCCACTGGGGAAATGTTAATGAAGATCAGAAAAGTTGGTACCTGAAAGAATGGGAAATAAACAACATAAATAATAACAGGGTGAGATATGCAAATGTTGGTGGCTGGAATTTAAATGACACAGCTGTTTGAAGTAGTCGGGCAAATTCTTAAATAGTTAAACATGGTGTCACATGACCTAGGATTACACTGCATGTACCCAAGGAAAATAAAACCATAAAACATAGGTCTCTGCATAATCTGCTCCTGTATGTTCAGATGGATAGGACTCATTGTATCCAAAGGAAGTAACAACCCAAGCTATCGGTCAGTCGAGTGATAGGTGAATAAAATGTGGTCTAGGATGGAATATCAGTGGAGTGATATGCGGACACATGCTAAACACACATGACTTCAAGAACATCCTGCTGAGTGATGTGACAGACAGGCCTGGAGGTTCACAAATCACACAGTTCCAATTTTAAAGGTCCAAACTAT